ATCGAAGAGGTTAACTTAAGGTACAACATCACGAAAGGACTCAATTCTGAGTGTTTTCACGCATCTTCCGAATGCACGATGCATTCTCCGTTTGCAGTGTTAACTGATGATTGGTCTATGACACTGACATCGTTTTATCTGTCGCGTTGTACTTGTTTGCTTGAATTCGTTTACGTATCTGATAATGAGCATTCAAGATCATTTCATTTGCTTTCGGGGTAGTACGCATTCTGTATGTTATATTACAAAAAGTGACAGTTGAATTTGATATGTTGTTTGATTTGATTAGCATAAATTGATCTAAAAACCATTCATACTGATTCTTTTGTGAATTTCCAAGCATTCACAAATTATTCAACGGAAAAATTTTTACATACGATGTGTTGAGCGAGACTTTCACTAGCAGAAATGAATAAAAAGTTTCAATAAAGTACGTATTTGGAGCAGATCATCGTGTTTGTGTGTATTCACCGTAACGAAACGATAAGGTGAATTAAAGTGATGCAATCAAAATGATATCAAAGTAAAGAATGATGGATGATTCAAGTGACGAACTGTGGTCCTCAAAATATCGTCTTTTGTGAACTGCTATTCACAGAGTTTCATAACGTCTAGTTGTTGCGCACTTCAGTGCAAACCTCCGAAAGGAGCGAAGTTTGCGAATGATTTGATGATAATAACGCAGTGGTGTTTAAGTCGAACTGTTTTCCTAAATCAAATTTCTTTATGCGCCACACCTATGAAAGCTTCCATAATGTCTTTGCACGCATCACAGAAATATCTTATATGAGAATAAAGGTAAAGGTGACCGCAATGTTTAAGTAACAGAATGATTTCTTACTCCTCATGGTTGAGGCTCCCCTTGTTCCCATGCCCATGCTTGATTCCCTATCTGGCATCGTTGGTTGAGAATCACTGCTGTAAATAAACGACTAAACATGATCTTTTATCCAAAATCGCTCTCGTACAATCTTCTGTTTGCCGTGTTGGTAAATGATTTTTTTGCTTCCCTAACGAAAGTTATTCTGCACGCTTTAAATTGATGAATGACATGCAAATGAAACAGTCGAATTACCCAAGTCACTCTTTTTATTCGACAATTACAAGTACGCATAAAATTTCAGATTTGAGTAAATCTTATTCACCAGTCGGTTGTGATGAATATAATGAATTAATTCGTTAATCAAAATCTTATTAACAGCCACAACATCACATTGTTGTTTATTTATTGATAGTTTTCCTTTTCAGGCAGGGATCACAGATTTGCTTTTTTTTTCAAGCAGGGATCAATCAAGTAACTGCATCTGCACAGTGCTGTAATCTAATGTCAGTATCGCTTCAACTGTCGATATGGACTGTCAACGGATCAGTTCGGTACGAAAGAAGTGAAATATGAAACAAAGAATATGCTCGATAAATTCATTTAACACATCTTCATTCGGAATGTATCGAATGTTGTTCCTTGTCACATTCATACTGAAAAGTTGTGATTTAGTTTATTGATCTTTTTTTACGAAGTTCTTTCAAGTGAACGAAGTAACGTTTTTGAATTGGAAACAAAACGAATTATGCGAATGAAGAATGTTTGTTGCATCAAAAGGTTATTTGTACAGGTGAAATCAAGTCAAAAACGCACCGCATATTTTGACGCCGCCTGGAATGGTTCCGTTACCATTGGCTGTCGATCGTATGCAGGGTTCATCCGTTGCAGATATTTGGCCGTTAACGTAAGAGCAGCAATTGAAACAATTATGAAGAGTGAGGCCAAACCAGCAGAAGTCCAAATTCCATTCATTGGCATTATAACCACATCGCATAATTCATTGCCAATTTTTTTCCACAATGCGTTCATTGGATAGCAATCAAACGTATGCGTTAGAAGTGTATCCTGTAAAAAACATTTTTTTCTTTCATCGAATTTGGACTTCAGATAAAATTCATCTCAGAATCCAATTAGCGTACCACTCAAAAGTTTTTATCAGCATCATTGTACCATACCTTCGAGCTGTAAACTTTGTTTACCACGTTTGCAATCGTTTCGTCAAATACATCCCCAATTACCTCCCGACCTTTGGCAGTAAAATTGCCCGATGCTGTAGCATTATAGATAATCTCTTGAACTTGATCGATTGTTACTCTGAAATTATAGTTGCATACATCTAACATTTTGTTACACTCAATAAGCAGAGTATTCGTTATCAAGTACTTCGGAAAACCCAAAAGCTATTTGTTACAAAAATTTGCTGGAAAATCTATAAATTTTTTGAGTGCTTTTTCGAGATCTTTGATCTCTTGAATCCGTCGTTTCCTATTCATTGAATGAAGACAACTTGGTGCGAAATATTCATCGTTGAAGAAATGATAAACGAACTGCATGCTTGACACAACATCGTCAATTGCTGATTTCGTTTTGTTCAGCTTTTCTTCCGCAATAGCGGTTTGATTGAGATGGGTTTTATTACTACGAGCTGCACTTCTTGTTGTATTCAGTGTAGTAGGAATGTTACCGATTACTGTACTCAACTTCACTGTGGTTTCCTAAAAATTGAATTTTCTTTGTTTTCGAAAAATTTTTAGCATCTTTTGAAGTGTGCAATGAATAGGCGTTAAGGTCTTCAATAAAATTCCAGTTTCTCGTAACAAAATTCTCTAGCAATAAACAGAAGTGAATTGAACAAAAATTGAACTGCACAATTTACTCACATTGAGTGACAATGTTTTTGAATCATTGAATGTATAATCGAGGTTGAAATTCATCATTGCTTCATCTTTATACTTTCCTAAATTTGCTTGTTTCACTATATACGAAGTATCCAATAAGGATTCACCGTGAAGTGCATTGAAGATGCTCGAATGATTGGCACAACTCTTCATTACTTCGCTGAAACGTTTCAAACATATTTCAGAAAACCCAAAACTTATTTGTTACAAAAATATTCTGGAAAATTAAACAAACCCTTATCCGAATTCATTCGTCAAAAATATCTTTTCCACACAAACAAAAATGTGTATTCGTATAATTGAATAACTGATCTGTTTCTGAACTACTATGTGAGGTTCATATTAGTTTCATCTTACGTTCTCAAGCCAACTACTGCACTGAAGATATCACATCAGTTCGAATAATATTTCGTTATTTTGTTTGATGAAAAGCGAAATAATGCTCGTTATGAATTGATTTTGTTTGAGAATCAAACAAATTCATTCAGCCAAAAATCTTCATGAAAACACTGAAAACGATTGATGAACAGTAACGTTTCGAACATTATTGGTATATTCTCATTATATTATTACGAGCAGATTTCAATTTTGTAATCAGGCGATTTGACGAACCTACCCAAAATTAATGGTTATTGACTTATTGCTGGTTATCGGAGGAACATCGAAATTGAAAAACGATATGTCGGTGAAAATTCGCATTTGCGGATCATAGAACAGTGGTTCACATACCATCCCTATACCATAGCTGCCAACAAATGAAAAACTGAAATTGTGCTTGCATATGTTATTTTAGAGAGCTGTTTAGAGTGAAGAAGAATTCAGACAAAAGACGCTCAAATCGGGGAGCGCTAGCGATTTGGATTTTGTGAAGAGAATAACGAATAGTCATTTGAACATACGTTGCAACCACACTGACGATCCAACTCAGCATAAATCCGAAAAATACTCCCGTCATCGCTATACAACCACCAACAGCAAAAATCACCGAACGCTTCGATGGACTCGAATCACTGAAAGTTGATTGGAAGAATGAATTCCGCTCTTTGAGGTTGAACGATTATTTGATTTGTTTGTTTCATCTGTTCTTCCCATCACCTTCAGTAATCTAATCGGCAGTTATTATGTGTTCTCTGAATAACACCCTACTCCAAAAAAGTTTTAAAAAACTCATGCGTCCATCTGTTTAACTCATCTGAGTTTTTAGCCTCATCCGCTCAAACCAGCCACAGATCTAGGTATAGNATATTATTTGTATATTGCTGTTTGAGTTCTTGAAACCTGCGAAAACATGTAATCATTAATGTATTATGCATAGTGATTGATTATAATAGCATCTCTAATAATGCATGATCAAAGTCTTGCTGTAGTGAGCTGTCAGCTGTTTTGACTGAATCTTTCTTCTAAAAATGATCAGTCTCTTTCAAAGTTTCTAACGAAGAAAGCGAAACGAATTCGCACCAGTAAAATTAACTGACAGCTTCATTAATTTGCAAAGATTTTGAAACTCTTTTCGGACACGAATTCACTTGTATGAGCCGAAAACGTCCAAAATATCTAGCTCGAAGTGTCTGAACAATGCAATCTGATAGAATTGTCTGTTAGAACGAGCTCATGCGGGTGAACTTTAGCGCACTGTAAGCCGAAACCAGAGCGTTTGTCTTGTTCAAGCTGACATGGCTATAATTTGCACAAGTGAGGCTGTCCAAGCACGCAAGTTACTCAGTAGAATAACTGTGTGCGTTCATCGATAGGTAATAAGCGAGAAAATAGACTAAATACTTCATTGGGAGTTGAAGAATACCACAGAGGATTGTAATTAGAGCTGGTATAATAACCAGTAAGCACGGAATAAGCACAATTGCTTTAAGGCCTGGAACTACACCACTCTTTGATAATATCTGAAATTTTTCGTTTTTATTCCGATGGAACTTTTTCAATTTGTATTTAATATTGTTGCCAAAACAATGTCATTTACCCGAAAGAAAATGCTTCTCCTGAAGACAATATCGTATCAGACAGTATCAAAAACAATGTCGTCTACCGAAAATGCTATCTTCGCATAACAACGATATATTGAAGAAAAAAAAAACAGCCGGATGTGCTCACCGATTGAGCATTTTGGCGATAAGCTATAGAAATCTGTTCATTTTGTCGATACAACTGAGATTTTATATCATCAACAGTTTTGCGCACTGATCTTGTAACATCATCAAAATCATGATGAGCTCGCTGAAGTGAGCTGTCAGCTGATTGGATTGAATTGTTCACCTATAAATGTTCACTCTTTCTCAAAATTTCCTAACGAACAAAGCGAAATGGATTCGTACCAATAAAATTGAGCTGATCACTTCATTAATTTGAAAAGATTTTGGATCACTTTTCGAATACGAATCTTATTCAGCTGAATTTATATTTCATCAACGGGTGGTTGTAAATGTTTAGCTTAGAAAATTCTTCCAGAAGAAATACCTGATTTTTTGCTTCCAGTATATGATTATCGACATCATGAAACGTTCTATCCAACTGATTATGAACATCGTTGAAACGCTGAAATCCAAAAATTAAAGTACTTCTTAAGGTTTTAAAATTTTTAGCTTTCTAATTACTTCTCAGCCAATTATAATCCGTTTGGGGCGTGATTTCCTTGCAACAGCTTTAATTTTCGTCCAATTTATTCATTTCGAATCTATTCCAACTGTTTTCAATGCTTATTCATATAAAGCGGAAGCTTTCAAGCGTAACGTTGTGCTAATTAGTATGAAGTTCATTTCATTCTATTATGATGTTCCTGCAACAAAACGTTTCATAGGAATAAAACAGTCTTCAGATACACTCACCTCACTGACCAACATAAGAGACTTATTAACACCTTGAAGCACCTTAATCACTGCCCCCAATTCAATCTGACTCAAATTTTTTGGAGCATGATGAGTCCAACTTTCTTTTCTCAGTTCTTCGATTTTTGATGAAGCATTAGAGACAGCAACACTGGCCGCGACGAACTTTGGAGTTGTATTCGAGGATTCATTTAAAATCTGTAGATACCGTTCCGATGTTTAAAATTTTGATGGCACATCACGGATTATATCGTAATCCACACAAAACACTAATAATGATAATAATAATAATAATAATAATAATAATAATAATAATAATAGATAGTAATTATTATTTTNAAATTATGAACAGATAGGCAGTTGTCTACAGACATAAAGTGAAGCTGAATGATGATGACAACCTGTTTCATTTTATTATAACCGTATTTGTCCTCGAATCCATTGAATATCTTGTCCGGAATACGGTTTATGATTCCACTGACATCGTCGAAAAACGAACCGATCGCTTCATTCATCTCACAAGTGATATTATCAGCCGCAGTCGTTAGAACATTTGCAATATCTGAGCAAATTAACGATTACGAGTTCGGAAATATTGCAGAGAAATCCATTTCTAATGGCGATTTGGTATTTGCGATTGAATCGATGAAAACAATACTGAAATGTTTATGCAACAAGAGTTTGATTCTAACCATCTGTTATGTCATTCGTCATATTCAAAACACCATCTGCATTATCAACTATATCCTGGCATGCAGTTGGATACACTGCCGCTGCTACAATGAGAAACAGTAATGCAACAGTCAACATTGACAACCAAATGGACAGTGCACATTTCGATGGTTTCTGTAATAGGACAATAGCGACATTAATAATGCTGATACTATAACGCAGTGATTATTTATGCATGTTTGCAAACTGCAACATCAATGTGACTAAGAGTGTTCTACTGTAATAACAACCGATCACATAACTGTGAAACGGACTACTTCATTATAAGTTGATGAAGAAGGTTGCTTACTTACGTGTTTTCTCTTCGCTCCGCAGCCACCGCAGGAGCGTACACAACAGAAGATGATTCCCGATATAGGTACACCAATGATGAGTATCACACCAATTGCAATGAACACAATCGCACCCGCCTGTACAACTATAGCATTCGATAGCAAACAACTGCGATGCTGCGTGCAATATTATGCAAGAAAAAATCTCCAAATTTACGCTTTTTTTTTCGAATCACTTCAAAAATTTTCGCGACGCAAACCTTATCTGTTAGCGATTGCCATCAATGGTACCATCACAATCAATTCTGATCAGTTGAAATGTTCGAATGAAGACATGTTTATTGAATATGAAATCTTTCTGAACGCCAAACGAAGAAAGAATGTTAATTGAGTGAACGATAAAAATAATCGAAATTAATCATTGCTGACCTGTTGTTTTGCCAATGAAATCGGTTCATTCAAACTAAACTTTCCGTTCATTAATTTGTCGTATATACCACTCACCACCTGCAAAAATTTATTTCAAATTCACCTAAAATAGACTATTGTCTGTCTCATTTATCTTTACGTCGTACTAACTTCAGATTCTGTCGATGCTCATAATGAAGAGGGTCTAAGTGTCTACGAGATCGACACCTCTCGAAAAATGCTATACACTTTATAACTGGGAGTGTGACCGGGAAAATGAAAGAAACATAGTTGGATAGTTTATGCTGAAATTCGAACTGAGAATTAGAGAAGGATTACGGTTCAAACTATAAGTAAAGAAGAAATTTTACTTCAAGATAGTCATCATTTAATTGAGGTTGTAAGCTCTTGCAGATCGAAGAACCGATATTGTAAAATGCTCCCACCGAACCATACGATTTTTGTGAATCATTTAGGACAAATTCTTTTTGTTGTAAAGAACAATTGGGGGAACTCGTTGCATTTGTTGGTAACGTTGTCGTTGGAGTTGTTGGTGATGATCCTAATGTGGTTGATAAACCTACAACAATTCGTCTCATACACCTTAAAATTATAAGCACAGTGCTAATTAAGCTGTTCACACAATCGATTTTCCAAGAACACCATCTTTCAGCTGCAGTCCCCAGAATTCAAACAAGAGGTATCTTTCCGGTTGATTTATTCCGAAAAATGTCAATTTTCTCACAACTGTCAATTGTTAAACTAGTATGTATAATATAAAGGATACAAATGTAATGAATGATCGCCCTCAGAAGTATTTCAGCATACAAAGATTCAATGGCGGATAATAGTTGAGCAAATTAGCAACATTAGCGAAATGAAAGGATTCTTCCAAAAAATTAACGAATGTTTCTGAGAAATGAATTCCATTAATGAATGTAACATTTGATTACTGTTGCAAATCAAAACGCTTCAAAAGTGTCGAAAATTACTAACGATGTTCAAAATGTATAAACAACAGTACTATTGTTCTGGTGTGGCGGCAATTGCACTTAACAAAAAATTTAATGAGTGGCATTGCTTAAACTCACCACTTATAGTAGTGCTAAGAACTGAAACAAAAAATAAGATTGTCACTTTCATTACGTATGCGTGTGCACCAGTGATATTTTGAACACCCGAAATGATCAAGTGTTTACGGGTTGCTTTCCTGTAAATAATCCCTCGAAATATTTTCAAATGAAACATTCCGTGAAACGAAACGTTCACTGTATTGGTGGGACAACTTCTAGCAGAGGATAAAACAGATCGTGAACTGTAATGACCGATATGTGGCTGGGGATGACAGTAACTGGTAAGAAACAGGAGAAAGGTTATTTTGTTTCAATGGATATTGAAAGGAAACAGAGATTTGACAGACTCTCAATGTATCAGCTATACTAAACGGACAATGTTTCAGCTGAAATGCGATGTGGTCGAGATGGTATTCGCAAACGACCGTAAAAACAAACCGTTATGTGAAAAACTTTTAGCAGAGGATTCAGTTATAAATGCTCTGGGAGATGGATGATAGCAGTGATAACAACCAAAAAAGACGAATAAAACGCGAGAATCGCATTTTTCTAGAACTGAAGCTGATGACGTGTACAAGTGTAAATGCAGTCATATTTGGTGAAATGAATCATTTTCATATCGTGATAACAAGCTCTTTTTAAAATGAACACAAATATTTGTTGCACTTTTAAAACCGCAGAAATCTTTCAGTATTGCGCTCTATTGTATCTATTGTAGGTATCAGGTATAAGCTGAGGAACTGTTTTGTGTTTGCTTATCAATAAGTATTGATATCATCAATAGATCAAGCAGACAAAAGTGCACGAGAGGAATGTTTATTCAAATTTTAAATGAGTGCTCCTTGTGTTTCTTTTTCATTTGATTACACTTTTACCTTATTTCGTGCATTTAGCTGGTAATTAACGATTGCAGTTCTACTGAAATAAAGTTGTTTCAGATATGATAGCACTTACAATTCAACATTTTATTCACCCTCAATAAGTGCTCAGCGATACTTCTAATGCAGTTTTTAATTTCTTCAAAAAGTAATTCAGAGAACGTATCCAATTTTGGCACGTTCCCTTTCGACAACGAGATGCTGCTCAAATCAAACAACTCAACCTTGGTCTCATATTTTGTTTCAGCTATTTTTAGCAGTAATTTTCCAGTAATAGTTCACAACATTATGATATCAAATTGTGGGAAGGCACAGAAAAATATGCATTAGATAATATCACCTATTCATCGTGATCCGAGAAATGCTTTCGGTTTCACCAATAAATTTTTCATCACACTTTCGAAACGACATACATCAATAAACAAGGCAACGCGTCTTTCTCTCAAAGAGGCAGACATCATTCCGGA